ACGGCACATAACAACAACAACAACCCTGACCTTGGTCCATTGTTCTATGTTCTTCTCACTGTGGCTCTGCCTCTTTGTCTGTCTCTGTCTGCATCTTTGTCTCTCTGTGTTCTCTGTCCTGCTATCTATCTCTTTTCCTCACTCTCTCTCATCCTCCCTGCCTATGTCTTTCTTTCTCTGTCTGTAGCTCTCCGACTCAGGCTCTGGCACTAGAGTAAGGCATGTGAGGGGTTGTCCTGGGCACACTGAAAGGGATGCTCACTCTTACAGGCCTACTCTGTACTTGAACTAGCCTGTGAGTGAGTGCCTCCTTAAATGTGTACCTGGGTACTGCACTTGCCTCACCCTGGTCTTGGTCCTGGCCCTGCCTTTCTCATGCCTTCGTCTCTTCGTCTCTGTGATTCCTTTGCTGTGACTGAGCATCTCTTTCTCTTTGTCACATGGTCTCTGATCTCTGCATAGATCCATACAACAGCAGCCCAGTCTTTCTGCTCTTTGGGCACATGGCTGAAGTTGGCTGCCCAGCCCTGCCTGCCCAAGTGCAGCACTCTGAGTCCAATTTCAAATTGCCCGGGGGTGAATGTAGCCCAGCTGAGGTCAGCCATCCACACTTTGCCTAGTCAGCTAGGCCAAGGGCTGGGTCTCCCTGCCCTATGTGCAGGAGCTTGGGAACAAACCTCCCTAGGAGGGACTGGGGTGAGGAAGGAGTGATCAACGTGAGGGCCCTCTTGGTCATGAGTCATCTGTCCCTCAATGTAACGGGCAGCACTGGGGCTCCCTCACTGCCAGAGCGGACAGCTGTGCCCTCAGGCCTTCCTGGGAATTTGGAAAAACAGCCAGAACTCAGTTTAGGAACAAGGAAGGATGCTTCCCTCCCATCCCCTCAGCCCCTACCTCACAGTTCTTTAAGTGTGTGGACTGTTAAGCTGCCTCCTCCTCAAATAGCCTGGTTCTTCCAGCTGTGTCTGCAGGAAAAATTGTCATCTCCCATTTGGGTTCTGGTTTTAGACATCCGAACGTGTGTGCTGAAAACACTCTTTGCTGTCTCTCACCCACTCATGGCCAAATGCTTTAGAGAATTCAAGAAGCATCAAGAAGGGGGAGGCGGGGGCCTGGACTGTCGGGACAAAAGAAGAGCCTGGAGGGGCCTGGGGAGGGGCTCCTAAAGGTCCGAGTCGGTGGTGTAGGTCACACCGCGCGTGGGTGAAGGCACTGGAGTTAGCTCACGGAGGGTGGAGAAGGCCGAGGATCGCTGCTAAGCTCCTGTTTCACTTCTGGTAGGACCCCAACAACTACTTCTGCAGCTCCTCCAGGCAGATCCAGAAGACAAGCTCTTAAACAGCAGCAAGAGGATTTAGGAACTAGGAGCTCTGGTGACGTAGTGCGTAAGGCATTTGACTGCTAACCAGAAGGCTGGCAGTTCAAACCCACCAGCCACTCCTTGAAAGGAAGGTTGGGCAATCTACTTCCATAGTGGGGTCACTATGAGTCGGGTCCAACTCGATGGCACATAGCAGCAACAGCAGGCCCTCATTGCTGTGACGCTCTACGGTTCCAATGGGAAGGGTGTGGCCATGGGGTCTCTGGGATATTTTCTGGCTGATTGGGAGATGTCAGCCTTGGTGAGGTGTGGGGCAGGAAAGGCCTGGGAATGGGCTTGGAAACTGGTGGTGGCTGTGGACCTAGGACTTTTAGAATGAAGTATACCTCCAGATTGTTTTAGGGCCTGCTCAGGATTCATGCAGACCTGCCACAATGTCTGGGACCTGCACCTTCAGAATCTAGAATCTGTGCCTAATTTTCCTCTGCCAAGGTTAGACCCTTGGTGCTGATCGACCTTAGGTCACTAAGACTGGCACCACCCACTTTGGCACCCTGGCTGCTTGGTTGCATAGGTTGAATGCTAGTGCAACTAGGGGACAACAACCAGTGTGCTCCTGGGGAAGGCAGGACCCGATCCCCAAGCTTTGCTACAGACAAAGGTGGCCATCTGCAGCAGTGGAGATCCTTAGAAATGCTGGGGAAAAGGCCATGTGTATATAAGCACAAGCCATAAATAGATTTTAGATAAAGAATCCAAGGCTGTGGCATCTTTCTCTGGATGTCCTTCCTTCCTTCATCCCACTAACACTTGTTAAGTCCCTAAGTGTTCTATGTCAGGTGCTGGGCATTCTCAGGTTCCCCATCCTCGAGACTGGGAAGGAGGAGAGATAGCTTCAAACAGAATTGCAATGGTGTGTGATAGAGACTTTTAACAGAGAGGTCTTCAACAGGCTGTGGTAGTGTAGAAAAAGCAGCTCATTCTATCTGGGGAGTCAAAGGAGCCTCCCTGGAGGAGGTGACATTTACTCTTGAAGGTTGAGTAAGAGTTTGCTGAGTGGGAAAGGAAGGTCATTTCAACTTGGAGAAGGGGGAGAGGTTTGAAGGAGGTGATGGAAGGAGCGGACGATGAGGCCAGGGAGGGTGAGAGAAGCAGCTCAGCTGTGGGCTTCAGCCAGGCCCAGTTTGTCTCTTGAGCTTCCTTCCAGCTTTGAGCCTGTTTGCGTCCCGTGCTGCCGCAGCTTGCCTTTGTTCCCGATTTCATGGGATGAGGCCCTGTGCAGGGGTGGGGGTGGGAAACTATGTTCTGGAGGAAAGAGGTTGTGTCTCCTAGAGAAGGGAGTTCTCCCAGAAGCCCTGGGCTTGCTCACGGGGAGATGCTTGGGGCCCCAAGAGCCCAGCAGCGCCCAGGTTGCACACATTACCTTGGCAGTTTGTGGGCAAACCCCCTTAGCTGAGGGGAGATTGCACTGCCAGCCACTTCCTCCAGTTCCTTCCTTCTGCCTGTCGTCACGGTTACCTCGTCCTTGGGGGTGAGGTTGAAGTTTGGCGGAATCAGTGTTGTCCAGGTTTCTGTTTTCCCAAATGCAGGTCAGCCAGAAGAGCTGTCACTTCTGGTTCAGTTTCAAAGGAGGCTAAGAGGCTGGGTGGTGCCTGAGTGCGGGGGTGTTGACAAGGCACCTCTCCAGCCAGCCACGCAGTCGGGTAGGAGTGTGTCAGGGACGAGCTCAGGGGTGGAGGAGAAGGAGAAGGGGGCTGCCCTGCCAGGACCTGTGTCTATGGCCGTGGGTACTGGTCCTGTGCCCAGGCCCTCTGTCCAGAGCTCCTAGAGCATGCTGGGAGTGCATGGAGAGAAGCTGTTTGTTTTCCTGGCTTAAAGCCTGTTCAGCTGCAATCTTGTTCCAGGCCTTGGGCTGCGGAATCACCCCCCTGGTTCAAGAAGTGAGAGAGTTGGCAAGCCTCGGACAATCCAGTGACTTCTCTAGTGGCCTCTGGCTCTAGACTGTCCCCAACGCACCTGGCCCTGTGTGTCCTCTAGATTTTCCTGGGAGGTAATGGACAACAGGAGGCACCACATCAAAGAGATCCTGATGGCCTATGGGCATGTGGTCAGGAACAGGAATGTTGAAGCCGGAGGAAGCCTAGTTTGAATGAATCGTGCCGCTGCCATTTCCCAGTTGTATGTCTAGTTGTGTGGCCTTGGGCAAATTGAACCACTAAACCCCAGTCATACTATTTGTAAAATGGAACACTAATAGTACCTTCATCATAAAACTTTGATTGGGGAGGTTAAATGACATGTGTGTACAGCATTTAGCAAAATAAGCAATACATGGCAGGTACGTTTGTTATCAATGAAACAATAACTGCAACTATGATTCAAAGTCATAGTATGTGCCTTGAACATCATGCTCTTTTAAGGACTGTCTCTATGCGATCAAACTGACAGCAGTAACTCCAAAGATTAGATAGGAAACTTAGGGGGCAGTGAGTTCATGTTAATGAGGGAGGAACAATTTGGAAGAGGAGGGTGAAAATGGTTGCACAACTTGGAGAATGCAATCGATGTCACTGGAATTGCACACGTACAATTGTTGAATTGGCGCCTGTTCTGCTGTGTGTATTCTCAACAACAGTGACAACTTTTTTTTTTTAAACTCAGTGTTGGTGCACAGTGAGTTTCCTCCTCCCGTTTACTATGCCTGATTTCACACATGGCAAATTTCCTAATGTGTCCTGGGAGAAAACTGCCTGGAGACTCCGGAGGCCCCTTGGCTTGTGTCCCAGGCAGGGCACTTTAGGCATCCCCTGGGCCCATCCATCTCTCTCACAGGCGGTATCCTGGAGGAAGAACATGCAGAGGCTGGGAGAAGGATTCAAGCCCAGGGAGGAGGCTAGGGACACTGTTCAGCAACAAAAAGATCCGAGTGTTTGGAAAGACCAATAAGGAGGGGTCTTGGGGGTGGAGGAGCAGTGGAATTGAAAAACCCCAGCGGAGGGCAAGAGGGGAGGGTGAAGGTAGGTCAGGAAGAGGAAAGAGGATGAGATCTAAAAGTGAAATCTATGCTCAGGCCTGAGACCTTTTTAAAGGAAACCAAAACCAAATCCACTGACGTCGAATTGATTCCGACTCATAGTGACCCCCATTGGGTTTCCAAGGTGGTAAATCTTTACGGAAGTAGATTGCCCCATCTTCCTTCCATGGAATGGCTGGTGGGTTTGAACTGCCAACCTTCTGGTTAGCAGTCAAATGCCTTAGGCACTACGCCACCAGAGCTCCTTTTTAAAGGAAGGCCTGGTAATTGCTGACCTGGACAATTGTATCTAGAGGGCTTGGGCTGGGCAGTATGGGAGAACAGGCCGCCACTGCCCCTGGGGTGCCATCCTCTATGTGGGTCAGCTCCTGAACTCTGGCAGGACCTGGGCAGCCCTGCCCTCCTGGAACACTGACCCTGTCAGAATGCCCCTGGTCTGAGTGGATCCTTGGACTGAGTTGAGAAATGTTTCCATCTTACTGATTGGGAGGCAGTGGGCTGGTAGGCTGTGGGCATGCTCAGTGGCCAAATGTAGGATAAGAAGGGAAGTTTGTCCACCCATCTGTCAGTCTGTCTGTGTGTCAGGAGGGAAGCTCTACTCTAGAGCTGGCTGAGTGTCTAATCGGTGGCTCGTTGCCCTCACAGCTAGATGAGGAAGAGGAACGAAGGAAAAGGCGCCGAGAGAAGAACAAAGTCGCAGCGGCCCGATGCCGGAACAAGAAGAAGGAGCGCACGGAGTTTCTGCAGCGGGTGAGCGTGGCAGCTGGCTCGGGTGGGGATGCCTGCCCTGTTCTTTGGCGTGGGCCTGTGCACTTGTGGACCAGGAGACGTCATCAAATGGCTGCAGATGCAACGTGTGTCTGCTGGCCTCTGCCCAAGTAGCCTCCACCCCTCTGCTCTTCCCTGCCTCCTAGCTAATGGCCTCCCCAAACTGAGCCAATGGCAGGCTGCAGCAGCTCCCACCCAGATCCCCTTAGAAGCCCAGAGAAGGTAGGAGGAGGCAAGTTCACCTCCACTGAGGTTAGCTGGCCCGGGAACGGTGCTACCCTTTTGGCACCCTGGTGGACCGGTGGCCGGGTCCGGTGGATCGGTGGCTGGGTCTGGTGCTGATGAAGTTAGGTGGCGATGGCATGCACGGGGTGGTGGACAGAGCACTTCCTGGGCCAGTTGCTTTTGTGCAGAGCAAAGCTCCTTTCCTTTGGGGAAGGGGACTCTTCCAGTCCTGCATCCTATCTGCTGGCCCCCCAGCCCCACTGACGATGACCCCTGAGTTCTCTGCTGCCTCCTCTGGGGCTCAGAAGTCAGCTCTGCCTGCCAAGGTCAGCTACATGTTGCTCTTCTTCCTGACCTACAGACCAGCTCCCTGCTCTCCCACTAGGAATGCGCCAAGTGGGATATTTGCTCTTTCTCTACTCTAAGTCCCGTCTCTGAGGCCTTCTCCTGCATCCCAGAAACGATACTTGGCAGTGAAGGGACATGACCAGAGAGCTAATTAGTCATTAGTCCAGGCCTGTCATCTCCAGTTCCCTCCTCCCAATAATTTACTACTAAATAACTGTAGTCTCAACTCTCAGTGCCTCAAGTTGATTGAAACTCATAGTGACCCCATTGGGTTTCCAAGGCTGTAATTCTTTCTGGAAGCAGACTGTCTCATCTTCTGTGGAGCAGCTGGTGGGTTCAAACCACCGACCTTTTGGTTAGCAGCCAAATGCCTTAACCACTACACCACCAGGCTCCTTTTTAAATAATAATAGTAACAATATATAATAATAACATACTGGGTCAGGCACTGTTCTGTAGTATATGTATTAGCAATAGTTGCTAACACTGGTAAAGTTGAACACTATCAAGTGCTAAATGTGTACCATCTTGTTTGATTCTCACAAAAACCATGGGAGGTAGGTATGTTTGTTATTTTCTTCTACAGATGGGGAAACTGAGGTGCCGTAAGGTTAAGTAACTTGTCCAGGTCTCTTAGCAGCTGAGTAGTAGAACTGAGATCAAGTTTGGGGTTAACTTCAAAGCCTTTGTTCTTACTAGTCGACTATACTGACTCTCATTCATTCTTCATTTGTTCCTTCATTGATTTAACAAGTATTGTTAAGCTTGAACTAAAAGACCAGCACTGTGCTAGGTGTGCCAGGGACACACAGGAAAGAGCAGAAGAGGTCCCTCCTGTGGGAGCTGGAGAGACAAGGCTGAGGTTGGCTCTGATGTCCTCTGACATTGTGAGTCTATGGATCCCTTCTCATGTTTACAACAGAGAGCAATCCTGAGGTCACAAGGGTAGACAGTGCAGGCCATGTATGTACCTCAGTGCTGTGAGCAGCTAGGGCAAGGGAGGGCTGACTATAGGCAGGAGTGAAACTCCTAGAGCTGGGAGCCCCCAGGCAGAGATGGCTGGATAACAATGGACTGGAAGGTTTCCAGAAGCCTCTAAGAGACTGGTCTCACAGGGACCTCTCAATATGGAGTATCCTATACTTCATTTCCCATCACTCAGAGCTGGGCAAAGCAGAGCAGGGGATAGAGAAGTTTCACGTAAGATCTCTCCCTTCCAGGGACCTGCCAGCCAGTAGGCAGGGAAGATATGCCGAAGTGAACAGTCTAACACATGAACACAATCAACAGTGCCAAACAAACACGGCTAGCTACTGCTGACATTCCAGCATTCCAGCAACACTTACTGAGCACCTACTCTGTGCTGAGCGTTTCACGCCTCGTTTAATCCTTACAAAATTCCAGTGAGGTAAATGTTGATTATTTCCATTTTAGAGATTGAGCCAAAGCTCAGAGAGGCCAAGTTACTTCTCCAAGGCCACATTGCTAGCCAGTGGTAGAGCTAGGGTTCATTCATTCATTTGCCAAACCCAAACTGAACCCACTATCATTTAATCGATTTTGACTTATAATGACCCTTTAAGACAGAGTAGAACTGCCCCATAGGGTTTCCAAGGCTGTAAATCTTTATGGAAACTGACTGCCTCATCTTTTCTCCCATGGAGCAGCTGGTGGGTTTGAACCGGCAACCTTTTGGTTAGCAGCTAAATGCTTTCCAGTGTTTATTGAGTGCCACAGTAGACAAGTAGACAGTTGTGAAGCAAATAGTAGTAACGAGCTGAGTGTTATGCTGTGAGCTTCCTAGTCTAGGCTGAGGAAGTGTTGCTTAAAGACCGAGACAAAAAGGAAGAGAGGAGCTAATAAGGTGAAGGGCAGGGATGGAGGGAGCCTGCAGGAATAGCTCAAGGAAAGGCCAGAGGCAAGAGAAGGGTTGGGTTTGGGAAACTGAAAGGAAAGTCACTGTGGCCAGAGTGTAGCGTGTCAGTGGTGGAATGAAGGTAAGCAGGACTCGTGGAGGTCAGCCTTCGGTGCTGCATTGCCTGCAACAGTCTCAGTTTATACCCGTTGTCCTAATTACTAATAACACTTCCCTCCACTCTCCCAAGTGTCCCCATAAGGATGATAAATTATATGGTCATGGGGAGCCAGGGAGGGAATTTAGGAGGAGACACACGTTAAAGGATCCTTCTGGTTGCAGTGTGGGGCGCAGATGGGAGTGGGAGAGTGGGGCAGGGGGAACAGTTTCATGGCAACTGTGTTGTCCCAGTGGGAGAAGGCAGCTGTGAGTACAAAGAGTAGTGTGTGGCCATAAAGTCTCGGAGGGAGATTTGGGCAGCTCTGTCTGGGCCTTAGCTCAGTCCTCCCTCCACACACACGCACCTCCTCTTCTCCTCTGGTCTTGGAAGCAGTGGCTGGTGTGAGCTTTAGGGAACTGATGCAGATGGCCGTGTTGACAGTCAATGCCTGCAGACTTGGTGGTGGGGGGTGTTTCTTTAATAGGTAAAATATTTACAAGGTTCAGAGGTGTGTGTGTGTGTGTGTGTATAAAATTGTTGTTCGGTGCAACAAGTTAACTCTGACTCATAGTGACCCTACGTACAACAGAAGGAAATTACTGCCCGGTCCTGTGCCAGCCTCACGGTCTTTGCTACACCTGAGCCCATCGTTGCGGCCACTGTGTCAATTCATCTCATTGAGGGTCTTCCCCTTTTTCACTGACCCTCCACTTTACCAAACATGATATCCTTCTCCAGGGACTGGTCCCTTCTGACAGCATGACCAAAGTATGTAAGATAAAGTCTGGCCGTTCTCGCTCCTAAGGAACAATCCTGCTGTACCTGTTCCAGGAGAGATTTGTTTGCTCTGGCAGTTCATGGTATTTTCAATATTCTTCACCAAAATCACAATTCAAATTCATGGATCCTTCAGTCTCCCTTATTCATTGTCCAGCTTTCACATGCATATGAGGCTACTGAAAATACCATGGCTTGAGTCAGGTGCACCTTAGTCTTCGAAGTGACATCTTTGCTCTTTAACACTTTGAAGAGGTCTTTTGCAGCAGATTTGCCCAGTGCAGTATGATGTCTGATTTCTTGGCTGCTGCTTCCATGGTTGTTGGTTGTGAATCCAAGTAAAACGAAATCCCTGACACTTCAATCTTTTTCCCATTTATTGTAATGCTGCTTATTGATCCAGGTGTGAGGGTTTTTGTTTTCTTTATAGTCTTCAAGTCGTCTTCAGTTTCAGCAAGCAAGGTTGTTTCATCTGCACATCACAGGTTGTTAATGAGTCTTCATATGTGTAACAACCCAATTCACTGCCATCCAGTGGGATCCGACTCACAGCGACCCCTCCTTGGTTTCCGAGGCAGTATCACTATGGAAGTAGATTGCCCAATCTCCTTTCCGAGGAGTGGCTGGTGGATTTGAACTGCCAGACTTCTGCTTAGCAGTCAAATGCCTTAGGCACTATGCCTCCAGAGCCCCTTTATATATTATATTTTACATTTTATACACTTTAATATATTATATTACACTTTCCTCCACTTTCCCAAGTGTCCCCGTAAGGATGATAAATTATATGGTCATGGGGAGCCAGGGAGGGATTTTAGGAGGAGACACACCTTAAAGGATCCCTCTGATTGCAGTGTGGGGTGCAAATGGGAGTGGGAGAGTGGGGCACAGGGAGCAGTTTCATGGCATCTGTGTTGTCCCAGTGAGAGAAGGCAGCCATGAGTACGAAGAGCAGTGTGTGGCAGTGGTTAAAGCATTCAGTTGCTAACCAAGAGGTCAGTGGTTTAAACCCAGCAGTGGCTCCACAGGAGAAAGATGAGACAATCTGTTTCCATAAAGATTTACAGCCTTGGAAACCCTATTGGGTAGTTCTACTGTGGGAGCTCTGGTGGTGTAGTGCCTAAGGCATTTGACTGCTAACCAGAAAGCTGGCAGTTCAAACCCACCAGCCACTCCTCAGAAGGGAGGTTGAGCTATCTACTTTTGTAGAGATACTGCTTCAGAAACCCAAGGAGGGGTCACTATGAGTCAAATATGACTCAATGGCAGTGAGTTTAGTTCTACTGTGTCCTATAGGGTCATGATGAGTTGGAATCAGCTTGAGGCCGTGGGTTTTTTTTGGGGGGGGTGGATATATATATATATATATATAGTTGGTTCGCTCTGCAGAAGGAAGATGGGGTGATCTACTTCCGTAAAGATTTACCGCCTTGGAAACCCAATGGGGGTCTCTGTGAGTTGTAATTGACTTGATGGCAGTGAGTTTGTTTTTTGTTTTGTCATATATATATACCAGTTGCTGTGAAGTCCATCGTAATTCATGCTGACTCATGCGTGTCAGAGTTGAACTGTGCTGCACTGGGTTTTCAGTGGCTGTCATCTTATGGAGTTAGGTCA